AAAAAGTGTTTTTGTTGTTTGGGGGTACTTTTTTGCAGAAAAAATATAGTCTATAGTCTGATAAACTTCCTTGGTGTTTGTCCAGAAGTTTGTATCCTCTCTGCAAGGCTAAGAGGTTGGGGTACACTGGAAGCTGGCAGCATCAGCAGAAGGGGTATTGTCAATGAGAAGGAGCTCACCCATTACTCACTTCTTGCCTGCAAGAGAGTCAGACCTAGGGGCCCAGTTGTTGTCTGGAAATTTTCATGTAAAGTATTTTCAGGAGAAGAGGAAGAAATACACCAATGCAAAACGTAATTCTTCTAGTAAGTGATATTTTGAGTTTCTGCTTCTCTAAAAGAAATACAAATTTCAAATTTCACTCTTCATCTCTGAAGATTTTTTTTTTTTTTTTGGAAGGAGAATTTGCAGTTATTTCTGCTAGTAAGGCAAGCTCTCCCCAGAGCTTTGAGAGCATTTAGGGATGCAGCATCTACTTTTATTAAATACCTGAGGTTTTTTATATGGGAGAAATAAATTCAGCAAAGGGCCACCGTTGGTTGGGACCTGAAGCAGTTGCCCTCCGAGGAGAGTCTGAACAACCATGGCTGGCTGGAGAAGATGTGGCTTTGGGTACTAAGACTGAAGAGGGACTCTGGGTGCCACAAGGAACTTTTTCCCCATATGGACAGGAAAGCAGGGGGACAGGTTGTTCACAGAGTCTGTTCAATCTCTGTCATTGAGGTTTTCAGGATGAAGCCCTGAGAAATCTGGTCTCATGTCACAGCTGCTCCTGCTTTGAGCTGGAGTTGGAGTGGAGCTTTCCTGAGCTTCCTTGCAGCATGAATTATCCTGTGATTTATATCCTTATTCTTTTGGAAGACTGCTCTTTCTAATTTGAAGTATACTGAAACTTTCAGGTCTTTTTTGACCTCCCCCAACCTAAATCACTTTGCTAATTTATTTGCTGTTTTGTTTCTCCGTGTGATCCTACTAAATTTCATCTGACTGATCTGTAGTTCATCAGAGCTGTTTTCAGTTCTTACCCCATTCTGAGGAGTCCCTCACTTCTGGATCCTCCTTAGAGAGCACTGGCACTCCTCCAAGCCACAGCATGGAGCAGGTCCTTGCAGATTGCCTCAACATGTTCAGTCCACTTGTGCTTAAATACCAATAATCATTCTTGAAATATGCTGCATCAGGAGTCACACAGTGTCCAAGTCTTGCTGTACTTCTCCTTGCTGCTGCTAATTTAATTGGCCAGTTTTCCAACACAGGAAGGAAATTTGATCTGAGATGATTCATTCTGAAGGACCTCATTGTGAACATCTTGAATTTTTCTTGGTGCATACAAACTGTCTTGGTAGCACATGGCAGGCAATATTACACTTTTTGGTTTTTATTCTCAATAATGTATGCACAGATATAAATATACACATGCATACATATATTCCTGAGTGTTTATTTCAGATGGCCAGATCATCAGGAATGATGTCAGAAGGTCATGAAAACCAGGGAATGGTGACTGGATTTTTAAACTTTTCTAGTCACTTACTGGTCCCTGCAGTTAGGCTGGCTGTAACCTTCTGAACCTTCATTTTGTCCCATCTTAAATACTCTTTTAGGCCTTCTTTGGTCCTTTAGTGTATTCTGTGGGTTTTCAAGAATAATTACTCCTAATTTAGATAAATCTTTAACGTCTAACATGCCACTGAGAGAAACTCAATGAGCTGTAATGAATACATCTGGACTGCCTTCTACACAGCTCCTGCTGCTCCTCTATGTGCTCTCCAGGTATTCTTTTCTGCCACTTAGAAAATATTTGATTTCTATAATCAGTCTTATAGTTACTTTTTTTCTTCAAATTATCAGCCATGTTTTCCTAGTCTATAAGGAGGAAGCCTAAAGTTTGCCCTGGATAATTCTTTTCACCCTTCCTTTGCCCCTCCTGCCTGTCAGAGTTGTGTTCCACCGTGACTAGACAGGGAAACCTTTTATGCGTGGGACACCACAAGACATATGGTAGAAGAGTCTTGCTGTGACATTACTTGTAAGCATTTATCTTTTGGGAACTATTAAGATAAGGGCATATTTGATACTAATCATGCAATAGATGATGCTATTGTTTTGCTCTTCTTTGCCATATTACTTAGGAAAATGTTCTTTCTTAGACTCTTCCACAGAACCTCTGCATCAGTGGTATTGGGTGCCCAAGTGTATTTGTGTTTATTGTGGTAGAAGTGTATGCACAGATTGAATTCTTTAGGGTTTTTTTGAGAGCATATGTTTTGGGAGCTGAAAATTGTGAGCGTTTGAAGCCTAATCCACATTCTTCTTTCTACTGCCTATTTTTTGGCCTCAGATAATCACTTAACCTTTCTCCTTGCCTTGGTTCCTTCTTCTCCACCACACGGTATGCAACTTTAGGTACTTCTCAAGGGTATTTCATAATTCATTAAAAATTTTAAGTACTTTGAAGATATAAACTATGTATATAGTAAATGCTAAATATTTCTACAAGGGTGCAAGGAAAAGGTTGATTTCTGAATTTGAATTCATTACCATCCATAACATTAATGTTCCATCTCCACTGCATTTCAGTACCTTAGTAATTTAAACATTAGTGAAAGCAAAACTGAGAAATGAGTTTTGCACTGCTGCTCTTCTGAGTGGGCCTTTGTGGAGTTGTGGGAAATTCTCAGTCTGCTGGTCTGCTTGATATACTGTTGATTATATTTAAAGATGGTTTCACTTAAGCCTAAATCCTTCAAACCTGTAATTCTGGAGGTCAATCTTTTTGCTGGGGGAAGTTCACTTGAACAGTTCTTGAAGCAGAGACTTGCACCCAAAACCTGTGTGCTTCCATTTGGGAAAAGATGGGCTGGGAGGGGCCAGATGGGTACCACTGACATGTGTAAGAGAGCATTCATTCACTGCCCTCTTTTTAAATGGAGCAGCTTGAGGCCTGGGCACACACGTGCTGCAGGGTTCCCTGTCCCTGAGTTAGCACCAGGGCAGCTGAAGGACTGAGCTGGCCGAGGCCCCATGCCAATCCCTAAAGTCAAGTCCTTGAGAGGGGCAGGATTTAAGAGCACACTTTTGTCTCAAGAATATCATGATGCTGAGAAGTGGCTGCACGATGTGGCAGCATCATGGCAACCCCTTGCCAGCGCAGGGGAGAAATAAGACATCTGCCAGCATGCAGGATCCTGCTGCATCCCTTCCTGCTTTCGATGCCTCGGTGCATACAAAGAGCAGGGCCACTGGTTTTCTTGACTACCTTGATTACCAGGTGTTTGGGCATGCTGCACCAGTGTGGAAATGCCTTCTCTTTGCTCTTCTCTTGCAAAGCAGAGGCACAATCTTCTGCCATGGATTCCTATTCAGGAATCTTCCCACCTCAGGCAAACAGATATAGGCACCACAGCGATGGGGTATGGCCAGAATATCCAGAAGTCAGTTTGCTTGACATACACAGAAAAAGGTCATTGGTAACCACTAGTGCAATGTCCTAAGGATGGCACAGCAGAAGAAGCTGCAATATATTGCTGCTGGCCTTGCACTAAGACTATGTGCTCATCACATGGAGGAGGACTAGTTTGTAGCAAGTTGCAGGGGATGAGGTAGAAGACTGGAAAAAAGTCAAAGTTTTAATTAGCTAATGCTATCAAAATGTAGAGCCCTGCACGTCAGGAAAGAAAAGCAAAGAACTTCGAAAACCAGATGAGGGAGATGGAATTAACCACATACATGAAAGTTTTTAAATTACTGAAGCTGGAGGAAGGGATGTGTGTTCATGCATATCAGATTATGAAGGAAATTAGGGACAATTAACAACATTAGACAGCCACCAGGCTGTCTGGCAGCACTCTTTAGTCAGTCCAGAGGATGCCAGACTTCCCTGACAGTATATAGAAGTGGTAACTTGTTCTGTCACCAGCCAGGGTGCAGGCCACAAAAGGTAAGAGCAAGAGTCATATTTTAAGAAGACTTGCACTACTTTGGGATGATTTGAGCATTAGTGCTAAATTCCTGCTGCTGCTGCTGACAAAAACCAGCAATGCACATTCTTGATGTTGTTAAATTACTGATATATTAATTGCTATCTCTTCTGGATGCTGCAGTTGCATTTTTCATGTCTGTTTATTGCCTTTTGTTGCTGCCTGCTGAAGATAGCGTGGGCAGATCCTATGTCTGATGCTTTGTTTTAGTTGCCTGGCTACTGTAAAATGTTATCTTAGCTTTTGCTGAGGTGCCACAGATGCTTTATTGATGATTGTCCAAACAAGGAAATATATAAAAGATGCTGGTGAATGCTGTGCTTGCCTGGTTCTGCTGCTTTTGCTAGAGATGCTTACTTTGCTTTGCTACTACAGATTCTGTGTACGATAATGTAGAGGGTAGGCTGAAACCTTTCGTCTACACACTGGGGTCATGGTCAATGCCAAAGGTAATATTATCTGTGTCTTAGTATGCAAAGGGACTGTTGTTGGAAGGAGATGGTGGGCAGCTGCTTCACTAAATTGCAATGCATTCATTTCTGGTAATTGTTATAAAGAAAATGTATTTTTCCTGTTGATCGTGTTGCCAGATTTTTCCCTTCCTTTCTCCCTGTGAATGGCTGCAACAGAGAGAGATTTAAGTCTCAAAACTTACTTGGGATGTTGACTTCAAACTTCTTCCCTGCCAAAAACTGAAAGTAACCAATATTTCTTCTGCTCTAGGCAGTTTCTATTTATGCTTGCTTAACTTTATCTCTACATCATGAGCACTTCTGACTGAATTGTTTTCTTGTACTCACAGTCTGAAACCTCTTCTAAAGTCTCTGAATAAGCTATGTTTCTTTTCTGTCAGTCCAAAAATATTTTGTCAGCAAATAAATAATAGAATTACCTTTTACAACTGTTTTACTTCCTTCTTTAATATTATTGCAAGCCTTTTCCTAATTATTCTTGCCTTTTGGCAGTTGCGGTGCATTAATATTTACAAGATGAGATACAGTTTTCTGTTTATATTAGCAGTCTTCGGTCTGTGAGATCTGGACCAACCAGAATGCAGGATATCCTTTCTCATCGATCCATCAGGTCCATAATGTAAGATACAGCGATGAACGGCTATGTTGTCCCTCCATGGATGTACAGTCTGTCGCCGTGGTGTTCTCTCGGGTGTCGTGTTGCTGAAATGACGAGAGCAGTCCGTACCTTGTGGGCCCTGTTTGGGGTCCGTGTGTGCGCGCATCCATCCGTGTTCCGTGTGTCGGCTCCGTGGTGTGCGTGCCTGCGGGACGGGGGCACCGCCGGCGGCCGTCTCGCCCGGGGAAAGCTTTGGATTCTGTTCCTCGTGTTTCTGTTGGCTCCCTCTTCCGAAGCGGGAAACCGTGTAAACGGCTGGGTTTGCACAGTTTCGCCCCCGCGGTGTGTCCTGCTGCCCTCTCTGTGTCGGTCTGTAGGCTTTGCCCGGCTGAGGTTGCACACTGCCTCTGCAGAGGCGCTTCGGGGGAATTGGAGGTAACGCTGATGGTGCCCTGAGGTTTTGGCACTTCTGTGGCAGTCACGAGTGCTGTGCACTCATGATCCGTTCTGTGGTGTGGTAAGGACGGCAGCCAGTTGTTCAGCAGAGTATTTGAGAGCAGCTGAAGATTTCTCCTCATTCTGTCATGCCTCCTTGGAACATTTCTGCCAGAGAGGGGTCATTTTGGCCACCGAGCGTCGGAATTATTTTAAATCTGAAGTACACCATGAACCTGTTTCCGTTATTTCAAAGCCAAACATTTTAGGAGCTAAAAAAATTGTCTTAGTGTAGGAATTAAAACACAAGTTAATAACAAGGATTCAGATGGTCTGCAGAACATTTAAAATTTTTGCAGGAAAAAAATTATAAATTTTTCAGCCAGAACTGTTGTATCCATGTGTGCTCAAATTTGTTGTTGTCATGGTGACTAATGCAAGTTACCGTAAGCAGGCATAAGGCTTAACAGGTGAAAAGTTATAAGATGTGGTCCTTGTTAAAAATAACTACATTCAAACCACTCAAAACCAGGCCTTGATTTTTTTCTTCCTTTTAGCACTGAGGCTTTTTAACGTGACATTTTTTAAAAAGACGAGGGAGGTGTTAGATTTTTATAGCAGATTTATTGAGGTTACTTCTTATCTGCAACTATCTCTGCATCCAGGTGCCTTTAATATGAGTCAAATACATTTCTCAGAGAATGGATGAGATAGGAAAATGGATAGCAATTGCAGAAAAAAATGTAGAGAAAATAATAGGTGTAGTCTGCTTCTCTAGCTCATTTGACATCAAGCATCCAGCCCTTTCCAGAGCACTGAGAACTGCTTATCTGCCCATTTTTGGGGTTAGAAAACACTGCAAGAGCACAAGGTATTGGTCTCTAAGGCTATTAAAAGTTGTCATTGCAAAAGGATTGAATCCTTACCACTATGGCACCTGCCTTGAGACCATTTTCTGCTTATAAATTCTTTATCTGCAAAATGTGGAGCAAAAGATCTTCTTTTTCAAGTTAGCTGAGGCCAATGAGAGGAAAGGTGCTTGTTAAAGTCATAAGGAGGTTAGAATACTAAACCACAGGCAGTACAGAAAAAAACATGTGACAAATTGCACAGCTGTCTGATGAGCTGTAAAGTTAGATGAGGAAGAAATTATCTCTTGCCTTTCTATTTCATCAGAGAGATAAATATCTCCATCCATATATTGTGTCATAAAAAATACATAAGCTTAAATGTTTGATTATTTCTTATAATTGCAAATTAAATATTCAAACCAGAAAAATCCTTGTCCTAGCATATCTATTTTTAAAACTTAAATCAAACATTATAGTTGGTCTTGCACAGCAATTTATTAATGTTTCTGTGCTGCTTGAAAAGTGTATTAGGTGCTTATGAAGGACTTGAATCTCAATATATCACCCATAAATTGTTCCACATCAACTCCTCAGATTTAGGACTATTAGTAATTAATATTTTTCTACCCTGACTTGAGCCTTGTGGTTTCAAGTCTTCTCTAGGTCAAAGATAGTCCTATTTTGTATTTTAGCTGATGTTAGCTGTCATCATCACATCCTAAGTCTCAGAATTTCAGTATTTAACTAGAGTCAGTCAGCTGAGAAGCTCCCTTTCCTCTTGGTGAGGTTTTTAGACATGGATTTATGAATGTATTTAGCTCTCTAAATCTTGTTTAAAAGTGTTTCTTCCCTAAAGAAAAAAAAAATGTAATAGGGATTGCACTTCTGAACATCTTCATGGATCTGGGCTTTGGAGACTACCCTGTTACAACTCAGCCTAAATAGGTTATGAATACTAACAGTAGTACTGTTTAAAAGTCTAAGGAGTTTGGTAAGAAGCAAAAGGAAAGGAAACTGGGAGCTGCTTCTGCTGAATATTAAAAAACCCAATGATACAGCTGTAAAAGAAAATTTTGACTATGTATAATATCTTCTCCATCCATCATAATAATCTATATCTATGTGTTTAATTTTATAAACTTTTCTTAGTAGCTGCTCCCTCTACAAGACACATGGAAGTATATGAAAGACCTCCAGGGGCAGTGGTCTGTCAGGAACAGCAGAAGTCCTGTATGTCTGCCTTCCCCTAAACTCAGCTTTGTTGCATGTTTAGAACATCCTAGAGATACATATAGCAATCTTGGCAATTCTGTTTTGTCTAATTTAAAAGGAGTAGGTAGTAAGAGGATTATATTTATAGAGCATTCAGTGGATACAAATATGGTCTCCACACAGTCCCACTCTAAGTGTCTCATACCAGGCTTTATTAGCCTGGTTGAAGATTATTTCTCATTTTTATGTCAAATTGAGCCAAAACAAGAGGTAATAATTGTTCCCCTTTTTCTGCCCTTTATTTACAGACAGAAACAATGCAATTCTCTATGCTTTTCATACTTAATGTGCAAAAGAGAAACAAACTGTAAAATTATGTACTCACTTTATATACCCTGCTTAATTTGCCAGTGCTATCCCTTTCTTGCATATGAGGAAAGCCATCTGCAGAGCAGGGCAACAGAAGGGTTTGGAGCACTACCCCTGGTCACTTGTTCTGTAGGAGTTCTGGTCCTGCCTTGTGGCCATCCCTGTACTTCCTTGGTAGAGAAACCGGTGGTCAAAAGATGTACTTTTGTAGCTTTTCTGTCCTGAGTTTACTCCCTCTCCACAGAGGAACCTTTTGCTAAATGGCCAGGATGTACCTCCTGAGCTCTGCTTCCTTACACAGAGCATGCAGGAGTGTGTCTTTATTAGGGGGGAAAAGAAGAACTAAATCAAGTGGTCTGTTAGCTGTGGCCTTGAACAGCTCATAAGAGGCAGCTGAGCACACTGTGAGAATTTGTGATGGGTGCAATCCATCTTCTCTTGTTGTGAAAGACAGAGTCCACTAATAAGGATGCAGATCCTTGCCCCTTGTAATATGATGGAAATCTTATTTTATGAGAAGAGCTGCCTCGTAAAGAAATCAAATTCCCCCTTCAGATTAAATAAGATAGAACGTTTTTATGCATTAGTGTCCAGAAGGATTCACTTTTGTGGATACAAACTGCCAAAAATTGGAGCAATTGTTCCTGCCGCTTTCCTTTCAAAATCTGATGCTGAAGTCATATCCATGGTATATAGGCAACTTAACTAGGCAAAACAGAAATTACACTACTGTGTAATTGGTAGATTTGCTAATGGTGCCAACAGTAACTAACTAGGTTCGACTTGTTTTACGGTGTTCTCTTGCTTAAAGTTGCCATATCGTCAGGGTAATGTTGATGTTTCCAGATTTATCTCTTGCTTTTCATTGCAGAGCTGTGCAAATGCGTGTCATTTTGTTATTTTGTGACACATGAAAATGATGTACTTGTTCTGTTTGCTCTGTCCTGACTTAATTAGTAAGATGTGATAGATTGCAAGACTTTGAATGTCTTCAGTAAGATTTTTTTCATGTGTTTTTGATGCTTAACTTCTTTTTGCTATAAAAGTCTAAACTTCTAGCCATGTTCTGTGTGAAATGCTGATGACAATTCCTTGTCAGCTTCAACACATATTTTAACAATATGACATACATAGAAAATACACAAAGATAAGTTCAGGTAAAGAAAGAAGTAGCATAATCCAAACTGAAATAATCATATAGAAAAGGGTAAAATAGTTTGAGAGAGAGTGGGTAGGAGAAGGAGGATCAGGAAGGACAACTGTAACGGCAAAAAGACAGAGTTGTGAGAAGAGGGGATTTGAGAGGCAGTCCAGACCAGAAAGGACAGGAGAGAAGTGGGAGTGGTGGCAGAGGGAAGAGGGCTTAGGAAAAGTCCATGCATGGGTCATTTTCAGTTAAAGTGAGCCCATGCACGGACCTGCAAGGTAGAAGGAGCCCCTAAGGAGAGGTCAGTTCAGGTCCTGTGGAGCTATGACCAAAAATACACATTGGCAAGTGAGACCCAGAGCAGCACTGGCAGGCTGGGGCCATTCCTGCACTGATGCCTGCATTAGCTCTTTTGGAGGGAAGAAAAGTGTGCTGCGAAGGGATTGGCAGCAAACTGCTCTCCTGCCTGTGTTCTCTGAGGACTATGAGGAAAGAGAGGAGATGACAGCTCAGAAAGGCAATCTCCTATATCAGTGAGAATGATGAATGTGGAAGGACAATGTTAGTACCTCCACAATGAGGCTTCAAGAGAAGGTGATCAAAGTAAATATTCGTAAAGAGATTAAAGAACGCCTCGTGTGTTTGAAGAATGTATAATAAGTCTTCAGATCAAAGTAAAGTCTGTGTTATTTAGCCATTTAGGAAAGTTAGTTATTGGTTATATGAGCTGGATAATGGAAGGCATATTAACTGTGCAGAAAACCTTGTAAAACACATAGCAGAATTTGCGAAAGGCATTTTTGTGCATCTCATGATTTTTTTCAAGTGCTCTCATCCTCATATATGTATTGTAAACATTTGTTTTTAAGGAACATTTCTGGTGCCTAATGATTTTATTCTCAAAGCAGAGAGATTTAATTAAAGCCTCATTAAACACTACAGTAGATGACTTTGGACTATAAATTAAATCATGAAAAATGTTGTAGGAGTTGTGTTCCCTTATTTCAGTAACATGGCTCTGTGTGTAGAAAATAAATCCTTGTTAATTGAGCACAACAGTGGAGGGCTACTTTATAGTGAATTTGCCTGCACATACTCTTACATCTTGAACAACTGTGATTTTCAGACAGGAGACTGGGGAGAGCCTTCAATTACCTTGCGACCTCCAAATGAAGCCACAGCATCAACGCCTGTACAATATTGGCAACATCATCCAGAGAAACTCATCTTCCAGTCATGCGATTATAAAGCCTTTGTAAGTGTTGATAAATTTAGTGGTTTGATTTGGGGTAGATATATTAAACTTGGATTTTGATATGCTGTTGTGTTTTACATTCATTTATAATATTTTTTCAGTCACTTCTAGAGAGACAGGTCACTGCTTCTGAAATGCTGTATTTGTAATAAATGAGAAACAAGGATGCACAGTACTTTTTTTATGAATTGTGTGATACATTGCAGTCCATGTGGCATTAGTGTTAGAGAATGGGCACTATGAGTCAGTGGCTAAGTGTTGTTGAAGTGACAATGACAGCAAGCAGCCCTACTTTTCACCTCTTACAAATCCCTGTCTAGTAGTTATGAAAGAATAATAAAACATAATATGGAATCCTCATACCTGCCTTCATGCTGTGTGCACAGCAATTAAAGTAGGTGTTGCCTCACCTGAACTTTGTACAGGTGTTTTGGGGAAAGGAAATAGAGAGAAAGGAGGTGAGGGTCCCACCCTCAATAGAGAAAAAGGAGTTGAGGGTCTCACCCTCAATAGAGAAAAAGGAGGTGAGGGTCCCAGGTGTTTTCCATCTGTGGAGCAAGGGCACATTCAGACTTCTCCCAGCCTGATGGCTACTTGAAGTACCAGTAGCAGTCAGTTCCATCAGGGTGTACTTATTTTTACCTCCATGTGGCTGCAGGCAGTTACCACTTCCCATCCCTGGAGAAAGGGAGCTTCCGTCTACAACTAAAGACAATTAGTCTTCTCTGGCTGTTATAAATGTTTGTGGAGGAGAGAAAGGTCTCCTGCGGTACAGAAAGTCATTGGAAGGTGGTTTTTTTTTTTTAAATGAAAAACAGTTTTCTGAAATTTTGAGTTCCCTGTCAACAGGGATGGGGGGACTGGAGCTTCTGGGGAGCTGAAGAGGTACCTCAGCCCACCTTTTTAAATGCTTGCATATCCCCTTCTGACTTTGCTGGAAAGCATTGTTGAAGCAGCTGAAGGTGCCTGCCAGCCCACTGTGTGTCCTCTCTGGAGGTGGCCACCTTATGGCTGGCTTATGTACAAAGGAAAGGGGCTCAGTAGTTCAGTGAAGTTAGGATGATAGCTGGAGGTTAACTGCTGGTCCAGGATGTGGGGTAGAGATCCTCTTCACTTGAAGGGCCTTGGATCTTTGGTGCTTTTTAGGATAATGCTCTGTTCACTAAACGCTGCTACATTTTGGGGAACACTTGGAGGTTGCTGGATCAGATTTAAAGCATGTCTGGGAAGGTAGGAATTAGAGATTAAATGCAGGTGAGACAGAGCCTGACTCCTTCTGAGGAGGGGCAGAAGGAGTGTTACAGACCTATCTTTCTGGAGCACATCTGTATCTTCCATCGGACCCTCATGGGGTTAAAAATTGCCATGCATGGAGTGATCATCCCTGGACGGTAACTAGAACCTCTGCCTTTCTCAGCAAGATGGTCAAGGACCATCTCACCAGCTCTCAGTCTTGTTCTCCTACTGTTCAAAACCTCCTTGCTCACCTCAGATTGAAAAGGAAGGTTAGCAGCTTTTAGTTCTTGAAATATGTTTTATAGTTCTTAGTGAACATGTCTATCTCAAGTGCCTTTTCTCTTTTTTTATGATCCAGCAGTAAATTCATAATCTAATGTAACCTTTGTAGTAGATTGGAAGATGGATCATTAAAGATAGGAAGTTGGAATGACCAGGAATATCCACGTTAGTGGTGTTTAAGAAACTTCCTTTCCTAAGGACCATGTGTCACCCCTGTGTTTCAGCTCCTTGAGCTGTATTGACCTCAGCTTTATAGAGTAAAATCCTGGTTTGTAAGTTATAATTGAGATACCCTTCACTCTATGCCACATCAGTCAGTTAAACTGTTGGATGTTCTCTGTATTGCTCCCACATGCCCTGGGTGTTTGACAAGGACTGTTTCCAAAAGCACAGAAAGTCAAAAGGAAGCAAAATTTCATCCAAGAGTTTCAGATTTTTCTGACAAATAAATTGGACGGTACTGCTGTGGTTTGTGTGTCTATTCCACAGTCCACCTTGGGAAGCATTTCTGAATGCCTTCAGCTAAGGCTTTTTGCTGCTGGGCAGGTGGGACAGGCGCTCTCCTTCTCTTCTCTTTCTTCCTCTTCTACTGTAAGCAAAAAGCACTGCTTTTTTACCCTGGTGCCTGACCAACTGGTAGCTTTCAAGGAAAAAGCAATTTGTTTTACTGTAGTCTATAAAAAATGAGAGAAAAAAAAAAACAAACAAACAACCCCCAAAGCAAAACAAAAAGTACCCAACCAACCAAAAAATTGAAGTCATTAATTGCAACCTGCCCAGAGAAGGGTAAAGATTCCAGAAGTGTCAGACAGCAGGATTCAGAGAAAAATACAGTTAAGTTCAATATGGTTTTGTTTACTCTTCTAATTTCAGAGCTTGCTTTAAATATGTTGTTTTTCGTCAAGGGCAACATCAAACTGTCCCATCAAATTAATGCCCAAAGCCCTATTCACATCACTAGCAAGCCCCCAGCTGGACTCACAGCTGCTCAGTTTATGAATCTTTCACATCTGCACTCCTCTAGGAATGCCCTTCATTCATTCCTTTGTGCTTGTGCTTATCTGGTAGTGTTGATGTTGCTCACTGGCCCATTTATAATGCCCTATAAAGTGTTTCTCATTAATTGCTGTGTTGGCTACTGTCTACATTGAAATATTTATGCATTTTCTTGCAGGTCAGACACTCCTGCCGTGCACAGTGTAAACTGAAGGCTTTAAAGAAAATATCTCAGTTTAGGTCAGGAGACCAGAGAACTGAACCAGTACACTCTGTGTTCAGTCCCAGCTTGCATTCATGTGTAACTGAAGTTCATTTTGATAGGTTCTTGTCAAAGCTGAAGCTGGTTCACCTTCTGGTTGGGTCAGCTTAGGCTGTTTCCAAGAGGAGACATTCTGGTAGAGTGAGACAGGTCAGCAGTGGTGGGTTGCAGCATCCTCTGGAAAGGCTTTCCCTCCTCCTGCAGCCTACTTACCATATTCTCACAGTGGCATGGCTTACCTTCAGCTCCCATGTTGCTCACTTAGAACTGGAGACTTAGGACACTTGTGCTGCAGTGAGAACACAGAGAGAGACTTCTCTGTGCCTGGGGAAGGGCAGGTGACAGGGCCCTTGCTGTGCTCTCTGCTCAGTTAAACCAGACTTGCGTGTGACATCATACAGAAGTTCAGAACGTCCCGTTTGCACAGAGCCCTAAGAGCACACAGGTGTGCACGCCTGTGGCACCTGCAGGAGAGATGCAGAGGTATGTGCCTTTGGTTCAGCCCAGGCAGCCCTAACAAGAGCCCTCGCTGCTAGAGAATGGCAGGGATGATGCAGCCAGCTCCATCCCTGGAGGAGCAGCGCCATTCAGCCACGGTGCAGGGGTGCTGAGACCTCAGGGGAGCAGAGGCTGCTGCCAGGCTGCCGGAGGGCTCAGACTGTGTGTGCCAACAAGTGACCCAGGGAGGGAGAGACCTGTAGCACAGGGGCTGTGTCACTGAGACACTGCCTGCCTTGTTACCCCTGGAGATGAGCAGGATCCTCACAGTGAGCTGAGCCAGGACACAGCACCCTGCTGCTTCCTCTCACAGCCTCCTCCAGATCACTCAGGGCTTCACAGCAATAGCTCAGGGTCAGCCTTTCCTTAGGAAGAAATAATGGTTTAAGCTAGTTTTAATACAGATTTATTGTCTCTCTTCGCTGACATCGGGCTCTGTTTGCACATAAATTAGTTACAGATTGAGTACACTGAGGTTAAGATCACTGCTGGCCTTCTCATCCACGTGGTTGCACACATAACAATAGGAGTTTGGCAGATGGTAGCTAAAAAAAGCAATTTCTCCATTTCATAATCAAATGGGTTTTTTAAGATGGAATCGGTAGTATTTGTTTGTTGTTTCAGTAACTAAAATGATAAGCTAGAAGACTTTCAGATATTGTTTTAAAGAACTCCAGCTAATTCAGTATACTTGTTGCTGTGCATTCTTGTTTCATGGGTTGATAAACACATTAGTTTAAATGATTTGTCAAAGAACTGCAGAGTAAAAAAGATCTAAAGACATATGTTAAGAAATTGATTGCTACCATTAGGTTTTTTAAGCATTTTTTGTGCATTTCTGCAGATGTTTGTCAGTTTTGGAATTTCAGTTAATCTAAGTTCAATGGATTTTTGTTCTAGTATTTAGGTTCTATGCTGGTAAAAGAGTTAAGAGGCACAGAGTCAACACAGGATGCATGTGCAAAGATGAGGGTAAGTTTGTAAACCAACTCCTTCTCTATTATTAAATAACTGTGATTGCTTGTACTGTATCCTTTTTGCTTTTGTAATTTTATTGTTATCCATTTCCTTTCCTTGCTTTTACACTGATATTCAGTAGGGAATATATTCTGTTTTATATCTTAATTTGAAATAATACCAAAATTTAAAGATAAATTTTTATTTTGCATGTTGTATCTAACAAAAAAAACCCCAAATGCTTGTGTTATGTTTCTCATGAATCTTTCAGTATGTTTCAAAGTACTGTCCACACAATATAAGCATGCCCACATCCAATTGTTTTATAAACAGAATTTATAGCTTTTATATGATAATCTAGATTGAATTTTCAATGTTAAATATGTAGTAGTAAATATATAACACATTACCAAACACATTGTTTTTTACATGTGGTCTAATCCAACAGTCACATAATCCTATGGATAATTTTACTCAAGAGTATTTCCTTTAATTGCGAGTTACTTATATGCTTTTTGATTAAAGGGTGAAATGGGGTCTAACTCAGTTTCATCTGATGGTGGAAAAGCAGCTAAGTTTCCTTCAGACTGTTAAGAATATGTTTTCCTGTGGCTCTTTGGCCTGATACTGGTTTGTAGAAAATTACAGTAGTCTATCCCCAAGAAGCGTTGCTGCTGGAAACTCAAAACAAGCCATAGCCTGATATTCCCAACTGTAGTTGTAATAAGAGCACACCTGTTCACAGCCATGGTGAACATATCATGGGCTGGCATGATTAATTAATGAAGAAAATAATTGTTTGCTAATCTATCAAGCGTGTACAATTACCTAGATGAATGAGCAGAATCTTTTCTTCTGTGTATCACATGTCTCTCATGCAAGGTGTCTCTGAGCACAGGAGGTGACGTTCAGATCAGAAAGCTGGAAGATGTGTGAAATCCATGCAATCAGACAAGCATTTCCTGCTGGTTACATGTGTGCAGCACACAGACTACCATACCAGCTGGTTTAGCTAAGGGCTGGCAGTAGTTCACAATTACTGGATTGCCTGAAGATCTGAGGCTTTTCAGCTAATTACATGTTAATCATTCCTTACCTGGGCTTAAACTCCTCTGAAAAAAAAAAAAAAACAACAATTTGACACAGAGGGATCTACAATCACATACACGTGTTCTGGGGAATTAATTGAGGCTGCAGGCATACCATCTTCCAATCCAGTTTTGAAACTGTCAGGCTTAGCAGTTCAATTCTTTAAGCATATGCCTGTGCAGAAATTAGGGCAGAATTTGGCACTGTAGTAGCATATGACAACTTCAATAAGTTTTCTGACTGAACTGGGAGGCTTAACATCAAAAAAGGCTCTCTAAATAATTTACAGGCATTTTAGTATATGTTTCTGTACGTAATAACTTTAGCCAATTAAAATTATACTACTGAAAAAAACTGTTTGAAAGCAGATTTAATTTAAAATACACATTTCCTATATAAATAGTGCAGTTGCACTAGTTTTCTATAGTGCCATACAGGACACTTATATAATACAGTGATGGGTTTTATGCACAATTGTTTTTTACATTCTCTTTTGAAACAATTGTTCTGTAAGAGTGTTTATTTTGTGGTTTGGGGTTTTTTTCATTGCAAAGATATTTAAATAAAGCAGTTTTTAATCAGGATTTCAGCTATTCTTTCTATGTAGCCCTTTTAGTAATTTTCCTATTCAAGTCAAAAGCAAAAGTGTTTGACTTAATGAGAACAAATTATTATTTTAGCCTGCTTCCCACTGAGAAAAATATATATTTCTCCAAAACTTTCTCCCTCTGGATGTCTCCCAAAAGTTGTTGTCAGTGAATTGGGAGTCCAGGTTGTCCAAAGTCATCCTGAAATTTTGCTGTGATGTTCATTATTTTATTTAAGTAACCTTGGGTTGTCATTGAAAAGCTGGTTTCTGTTATAGTTACATTTTACTTTAAATGTGTTGAAAGGTACATTTCACAAGAAGAAAAAGTGAAAAGCTAGATATATTAATTGTCTGGCTCTCAGATGCTGAATTCTTTACACTTGTCCAGTGTCTCTAGAATTAGTAAGACCTTTACATACGGTTTACTATTGTGATAGAACAATACTTTTTATTCTAGTATTTTATTTGTTATTCCATGCACATGTTGCAAAACTATAGCCTGCTGCAATCTGGAACATGTTGGGTGTGGGGGGTGGTATGTCACATATAAACTTGTACCAGGTGGAGGTCACTCCCCACAATTTTTTTTAATCTTTCTGGACTCAGCCACATAATGGCTTTATGGAGAATGTATGCAAATTAGGTACCTAATTTTTCTGTCAATGTGGCTTTTGATTCTCCATCTTTAACTTAATGCTGCTCTCAAAAGTGTTGACATTCACTGGATGTCTTGCAGTCAGCAGGTGCACAAGGATGAAAGAAGAATATCTGTGAAAAAAAATCTTGATCTTCCTTAATCATTTATAAATACAGAGAAACAACAAAAATGACATGTTTGCTGACTGCAGATCCCTCACTGTTAGTTGTAGATGCTCCCAGGGCTTTCAATTATTGCAACTGATGGTTTTGGTTCTCCAGGGAAGTGTCATGTGGATATCCCTTGTGTTTCTCCACAGAGAGGCTTACAGCAGCCTCCTTCTTATAGCTTAAAAGTGAAAGGAGATCCTAAATCTTCTATAATGGGAAAAAAAAACCTACTGAGAATAATCATTAAAAAAAAAAAAAAAAAAAAAGGACAAAAAAAAACCACAAAAAAAACCTGGGAACCTTTACCTTAATAATTCTTCTTGGAAATCCACTGTGCTTCTCAGCATTGTGCAGCAGTGTGCTCTAGCAGGGCAGATGATGGATTTGTTTGGGGAAAATCATTTGCAGATGCAGTAGCTGGAGCTCAACACTGGGGTCAAGGTTGTACATTATTTGTTTCCCCATCCAAACTGCAGAATCATGTAACCACACAAAATTATAGATGTTTATCAAGAGCTTCACTTTTCTATTAATATATTTGCACTCCTTTATATTTTACAGTTTCTTACTTGTTTCCAGCTATTTTCTCTCACAAACTCCCTCTCTAATGGAGAGCACTGTATCCTTATCTCCATTCCCACACACTGTAAACTGACCTTTCCTACTTGGAGATTAAATCTTGCTGTCCTAGCCAGAATATATTTATTAATTATATTTGAGAGAAGACTTCAAGAAATTAAGAGTTCATCTTTGGCAGTGTGAAATGGGAAATACTGCAAGTTGTGTTTTCAGTCAGATTGCTGCCTTCATCACGATTTATCATAGGAACATGAAGGGAGAATAAAATGTGTTTGCATCAAAATAAAGGCAAGAGTTAAAGTTAAATTTGAGCTAGAAAGAGACTTTTTCTCTACAGAAGACATCATTTGGCATTTACACATCAGAAATCCTTGACCAGGTGGGAATGATATTGTTTTATACTTACTGGCATGAGCACAGCAACAAGGTAGAGTCTTTCTTTGCAGCTCTGTTAAATCACTGATGTTGCATACACCAACTGAACAGTCTAAACCAGTCAAATATTTACTGCAGCAAAAGGGAACTTAAATTTGGTTCTTGGATCCTGACACCTTCCTGACAATTATATTTCTTTCTTAAATGTTTTCTTGCTAGGAATAGGTTCTTAAATTTCAGGTCAAAGTTCTGAGGAACCAGCAGTATAATTCTGTTCACAAAGCAGGTGAAATGTCTTGCTGACTTAAGACCAAAATGTCAAAGTTGGAGTTGCTGTAAAATCTGATTCTCTTACCTCTGGAGAGGAAAGTGAGGCAGAGTTGACTCACTGAAAACAGGCAGCATCTGGTGCCTTTCTTCCTCCTTTCATTTCTTCTTATTAAAGAAGGAACAGAATTTAGATGGCAATCTCCTTGTTTCTACTAAACCCTTTCTTACTTTTCAATCTCTGTTTCATTTTTCCTCCAAAAGTAGAAGTCTGCATATGCCTCCTGGTGAAACTCCCTGGGCAAATATCATGTCAGCATCAAACACTATTTTGGGATTTAGATTCTTCAGTCTCTGCTCTTTTGAGACTTGCAGCTCTGCCTCTCTCTTGTGTGGCCACTGCTTTCAGAGGGTCTGCAGTGGAACAGGCACATGAATATTACTCAAAAGGAAAAAATAAATAGTGGTGGAAGATCTTATGAATGTCTCTATGCATATCCACATCATGCTGTACCATGTGTTCAGAGGATTGTATGTCCTTGAATTCTGACTGAAAGGAATCTAAAGGGCAGTTGGAATGCAAAGGAATGTTTAGAGATATTGCAAAAGAAAAAAAACCATCTCACTCTCAACTAGGTTTATTACAGGTGGTGCACTGCTCATATTAATGATGTAGCTTGGAGGCATCCACTAATTGTAGAGCAGTAAAGAGTTTTGTACCACAAGGATTGCAGATGAAGTTTTATTCCAAGAAGCGCTAAATTATGTCAGTAATGCATTTTTAAACTTCTTGGACTGAGAGAAGTTAAAAGGCAGATTGTATAATTATATGTAAATATTTGTTAAAAGACAAATTGGCTTCAAAACTAACTGGTCATATGTGGACTTAGACTTTTTATTTCAATTTCATTGCATGCATGGTCTTGTCAAAGTGATTCACACACGCTCCTCTTGCCCAGCTGGTCAGGGGAGGTGATTGTCCCACTTCGCTCCGCGCTGGTGCAGCCTCACCTTGAGTCCTGTGTGCGGTTTTGGGCACCACACTGTAAGAAGGAAATAAAGCTGTTGGAGAGCATTCAGAGGAGGGCCATGAGAAAGGGCTTTGAGGGGAAGCCTTATGAGGAGCATCTGAGGACACCTGATCTGTTCAGCCTGGAGAAGAGGAGACTGAGAGCAGATCCTTCATGGCAGTCTGTGACTTCCTCATGAGGGGACCAGGAGGGGCAGACACTGATCTCTTCTCTGTGGTGACCAGGGACAGGATCCAAGGGAACGGCCTGAAGTTGTGTCGGGAGAGGTTTAGGTTGGCTATTAGAAAAAGGTTCTTCACCCAGAGGGTGTTTGGGTGCTGAACAGGCTCCCCAGGGCAGTGGTCACAGCACCAGCCTGACAGAGCTCGGGGAGCGTTTGGGCCATGCTCTCAGACACAGGGTGTAATTTTGGGGGGGGCCTCTGTAGGGCCAGGAGTTGGGTTCAGTTATTCTTCTGGTTCCCTTCAAACTGAGATTTCACTGATTCTGTGAACTATTTAGTGAAATTTCATAAGCCTTAAATAAATAGCAGACTTACAAGTATGATAGTAGGTGGTACCAACACATGTTTTAAAATGTGCAGTCTGATGCCATTTAGAATGAATAGTTGCTATTAGATTGGGAAAAAGTTCAGATTCTTATAATGAAGTGGATTTTAATACATAATTGAATAAGACAATTCATATAGATATTAAAAATCAATATAGGACTGAAGATTCATTTGCAAAAGTAGAAAGCCAAGATGAAGATGTAAGATTTTACAGGCTCATAAACTTTTACTTGGAATTTATTTATGTATGAGGTTGTTAGTGACTTGTCATAGCTGAATAATGTTTCTTTACTGCATATTTGCAATATCAAATATAATTACATATTATAAACTTAAAAGTGAATCTGTTTTCATTTTGGCCACTGTATGAAAGCTGAGTAATCTAGTTATAAATGCATGTATAACTACATTGAAGAGGTCAACATGGCAAAGTACCAGTAGAAGTCCCCTTTCCTCTTGGCAGGAAATAAATGAGAGGAAAGATTTTCAGAGGGGGCTGCGTTACACCGTGTGCTACAGTACATCAAGGACTTACTTGGACACCATTCTCTGTGTGTTTCTGAATTTCTTATTCAGCTGCTTTGTGTGTCTGTGTACTCAGAGATACCATGGTTTGTTTGTACACTGCAGGGGCATTCAAAGGTGTTGAATTAGTGCTCTCAGTTCTGCACAGAATAAGGCATTGAGGTACAATCCTGTCTTGAAAAAGTTAAAGGCCCTTCAGGGTTGCAGGTTTTGTATTTGCTTTTTAAAAATAAACTGCTAGTTTATATAATTTTATTAAGTCCTCTGCCTCTTAAGCCATTGTTAATTACCTAGATCTGTAAGGCATGCTGGCAGGGTGGCTCTCAAATTAGTTGGATTTTATTTTATATTCTAAATAAATGTCTAGCAGTTCTGAACAGCCTTTTACTCAAAATCAATATGCAAGTGGAAATGCTTTACTTACTTAAGACAATTTGTAGTACTACCATAATATGAAAATGAGTTTAGGCTGTGGATATGAGAGTGATTTTTTTTTCAGTGAAACTAAAGAAAATCCATGAAAAAGATGAGAAACAAGATTGCACTCCGTCTCGTGCTGTCTCTGGCACCACTGCTCCTGCATCTCCTTGTGACCCATTTCAAAAGGAGAAATTGGGACCAGCACTGTCCAAGCCTATGCAGGGTTTTGGCACTGGGCTACATAACAGCAACAGTGGGTTCAGATGCAAACTCAGAATAGTCTTAAGTTCAGACCTTTATTGTAAAGCAGTCACTGTAGTAACCAGGTAGTTATGCAGAAGGTGCCTTCCACCTTCTTCCACTCAGCTGATCTGCATTGTGGGTGCTGAGGGGATGAAGCAGCTTCATTGCAGCAGCTGCATCAAAATACAGACAAGACTGGTACTCCAGATGTTCCTTGTCCTGAAGTTACAGATGCTCTGTGTCTTTTGAGAAGTCTGGGGAAGCTGCAGGTATGTCACATTTGATTTAGGATGGTGACACTTTCTACCTTCCTGTGTATGCACACAAGCCTGTTTTATGGTTCTTGAATTATACATGGTCTGCTTTCCTGAGTCATTCACCTGTCTGGCAGCAAGGATTTCGGAGGTGGCACCAAAGCTCAGTCTCTCTGGCAGTGCAGACTGTGCAGCACAGAGGCTCCTGCCTGCAGGAGCAGTGCACCCATGGAGATGGGGCATGCACATCTGTCCTGACCTAGGTGACCAGCTGATCAGCAACAGGCACTGGGGAGGAGCCTGGAATGGCCTTGCTGTTCACCCAGGTGATTCTCCTAAAGAAGTGTATTCATATGAACAGTCAGCTACAGTCACAAACAATGGAGTTCATAGGAACTATGACCAGTTCCAGGCTACTGAGCACTTGCCCAAAGACAGTGTCCTGTCACTATGATGCTTCTTTGTGAGATGAAATCTAATCCTGCTACTGTGGTATGAACATGCCTTGGAGCATGAGACCATATGTCAGCATGCACATGACATCCAACGCCAGCCTTCAGCTGTGGCTCCTATAACTTTGGCTCAAATCCATATGCTTCCCACAGAGACACCAGATGGACAAGAATATTTTGTCATCTTGTTGTGTCCTCATGGAGTTGGTACAGTGGCTAGAACCTGAAAAGCCTGAGGAAAGGGAATACTGACTCCTGTGTCCCACCTCCTTCTCAGATTCTGGGCACAGACATGGGCAAAGATGCCCACTTGGCCTGCACAGAGGTGTGAAATGTCTGACCAAGAAAGCTGTGGGACTTCATCTCAGCATCCTAGAATTCAGAGCCAAAGCACCTACAGTGCCTGAGAAAAAGGTATTCATACTGTATCTCTGAATTCACATGTTACACATTCAGGCAGACAATTCCTTCGTTAAAAAGAAAGGAACAACAAGCAAATTGTGTCAGCTCACCATGACAACTCAAAACTGTTGAAGCCTGGAAACTGCTTTGAAATAATAATTATCTGGTGGAGTCAGTTACTGTATTACCAAGAGTCGAGCCAGGGAAAAGAGCAGTGTGTTTTTCTTGATGGCACTGTTGTAATAACAAAGGATGTTATTCCACTGCCCAGCTGTTTGTTTCAATGGGAGTACAAGTGCAGAATTGCTGCCTCAGATTCTACACTGGACTGCAGTCTTCCAGAACACCTTCCAGCACAAATCCTGGGGTTTGTATGGTTTGCAAGCTGATGAGGAATAGCCCATGCTCCTTACCAGCTGAGATGGTTTGGCTTAATAAATTACAAATGTCCATCAGTCTCTGATTTGTTTCCTAATTTGCTGGCTGTAATTTAATAGCATCTTGATGAGCTGTTTCACTCAGAGACAGTCTTCTGGCAGCTTCAACCCTGATTAAATATTAGAGGTCAGGTCTGGTCAAGACAAACCCAGGTGAATGTGGAGCAGATGAAGATGATTAAATTACAAACTAAAGGTCTAGAGGAAACAGATAATGAATATAATGTGACCTGACCAACAGGATGCTTCACCTTTATGGCAAATACCAGACAGTGGGAATTATACCAAAAAACTAAAATATGTGAACTTAGTACCTGTGCTTGTATAGCACGTTGGAGAAAAGGAATTTTGATGTTAAGGAGGCAAGGAAGGAGGGAATTACAATAATCAAAATGGAGAAGAAAACTCTCTTGTGTGTAGCTGTTGGACTAAATTGAGAGGACAAAAGTCAAATGATTGCTGCCCTGCCAGACGATTGAAGTGATATTGTCATATTTGTGACTATTTTGTCTAGTAGGAGCATAGGCGGGGTTTATTGCTTGTTAATTTGATAGATGTATGTACTGAAGGTTCTGTACAGTCACTGTCATGCTTTCTGTGCATTGAAATTGAATTTTACAAAAAGATCTGTTTAAAGAGCTGTTAAAGTGAAACACACACACATACACACAGGGAGCTGCTTGCTCTACTTTTGGCAGGGATACCATTTCTTTCTCCACTCAGTTCAGAGGCAGGCAAATCAGATTAGTGTCTTTCTTCAGATTTTGTTAAAATTCTTCAGGATGTTTTACCATTTAAGCTTTCATTTCTCAAAAGTAGCGAGCATTCTGTGTGAAAGGAGTTCTCTCTGGGATAAATTGACACTTGATTGCTGCCTCACCTCTCTCGTCATTCGATACAGCGAGATCCAACAATCCTCTCCATTACACAGATGGGTGGGGCTCTCCTTGAAACTTTAATATGAGGTTTTAGCCTGCATGGACACTAATTGCAGACCATAGCTGGATCTGTAGCTTTGAATTTTATGCTGACAAAAATGGAGCCTTTTTTGATTCTGGGAGGATCAAGAGCCAATGAGGATCACAGGGCGGTTTTTTGTTTTAAGTTTCTGTTTATTTTGCTCTCTAGTGTTAGCGTTGCCTAATTTTTCAAACATATTAGTACAGTTTGTGTACAAACATGTAGTTACAGTTTGTGTTTTCAAGTTTCTACCTCTGCTTCTTTGGGCTTTTTTCGAATAATACAAAGCCACTTCTGCTACTTTTGTTCAGCTGCTTTAATGATCTTCCTATGTGCCAGTTCTAGAATTCTCAGTGTGTTTACACCCTCCTTCTGTGTGCTGATGTTTCTTCATGTTTACCTGTAAAGGTCAACAGTTCATTTCCTCTCAGGAAAATATTTGACTGATCTCTGTGATTGTTTGCAGGTAGTCCCATAAATAAGCATTTTCTGAATGTTACTGCAGAAGTTTTGTGTAGAGTAGTCTAGCCCATCATTGTCATCAACCTTAAAATAATTCAGATCAACTATTATCATACATTTGGGGGTTTAGTTTGTTTGGTTTTGGGGTTGTTCTAGTAAATTTAACCTGTAAATTAAATATTTTTTTTTCCTGCAGAGAACTTAAATCTGCCCCAAATATTTTCCCAGTCTGTTCAGCAGGAAATATGTTTGCTTTATGCATCACACTGAAGGCACACAGAAGTAGACTAGCATAAAAGGAAAACAATCTTATAGGAGGGCATGAACTGTAGGTAGGAGAACCTGGCACTGAGGGAATGCAGAATAAGCCTCTGTGCTAATTCATGTGTAAAGCAGCTTCCAGTAGCAGCTGCACTGGAAGTGCAGACAGCCAGACTGACAAGATACAGCGCTGGGCTGACAGATTGACTGGCAAGCCTAGCGGGCTGCAAGGATACCTCATGTCACAAATACAGCTGCAAAGAAGGGAAAAACAGGGAAACATTTCTAAATAACAACTAATTACAGCAAAGAAAGGGTACTACAAGAGGTACTGTGCTGTTGATTCTTACAGCTGGGAAGGGCAGGAGAAAGGGAGGGAGGCAGCAGTGGATGGAGCATATCAGATAGATGTCCTAAACACACACGTTTTGGGAAACACTGGTTGCATGACTGGTCTTTTTAAGCCTGGAAAAGTTACTTTATTGTCTTCCCGTTGTGCTAGGAAAAAAAGGAGAATTTTTACTATCCTCACAAAAATTCAAAGCTATTTAAGTTTTGTAACTACAAGAGAGCATAAACCCAGAGCGCAGCTGACTGAAGAAAAAATAAAATATTTATTTAACTTAGATATTTAATCAGAAGAAGAGAGCACTGTTACTGCAATGCAACACAACTCTAAGAATAATAATATCTTTGTTTTGATTTCAGAAGTCTACAGAACAGATGAAGAAAGTACCAACCATTGTCCTGTCTGTCTCTTACAAGGGAGTCAAATTTATTGATGCCACAAATAAGGTATGTGCAATTACTGAATATTACCTTTTGTTTCTCACAACTAGGAGAAATAGTAATACCTATGAAGGCCAGGCCAGAGAGGGGACAGATTTGCACTTTGTGTTTTCCTCTCCTCTTTTCTCCTCTTTTGCCCAAAATGGATGTAATGTAATTATGACTATCCAGAAACTCAGTCTGGAGAGCAAGTGATGCTGCATTAATGGCTGATTTGGAGAACATTGTGTCCGGCACTCTGCTCTTACATGCAAGCTTATCACAAAAGACATTCAGCAGGGAGCCTCTGTGGAATCCTTTGCCATAATCCTTTTTCATAATCTTATACAGTTCCATAAATATGCAGAATATATATATGTGTGTGTGTGTGGGTGTGTGTGTGTATATGTATATATGTTCATTAATATAATTTGAGAAAATAAAAAAAAAAAGATGTCTCAATAAAGAATAAAGAAGCGGTTTTATCCAGGGCCAGCCATTTTAAGAATAAGGAACACAAGCCTTGAATGTGCTTTGCAGACATTCAGATACCACAGCCTCTCTGTGAGCTGTTTTCTTGATGCTAACCATTTAACTACCTGACTTGCAGCAGCTTCTTAATAGTTGCTATTCCTGTTTTTTTCATCTTCCTGTATGGCAATTCTCCTGTGCTTTGTTTCTTGCATTTCTAAATACATCCAAATCTTTAGAAAAAACAACCAAAGCCACAAAGGCAGAAACTAAGAGATCAGAGAACTCAGTGACGGATAGAGCAATGGATTATTGCTTAGCTAAAGTAAAATGTACAAGCTCTGTACAGAGAAGTAAAGTAATTGCATTAATTTCTCTTCTTTGTATGTCTAAAATGGCAAGGAAATACAATCCATACTGTTGCTTTTATATGAACAGGAAAGAAATTATATTTTCTGCTATGTGACTAAAACTGACTAAGCAATATAAAAATTAATCTGACAGCCAGCCACCTGACCAGGTTAATAATGTATATAGCAGCTTTGTGTTGCTGAACATTCAGACCACACAGTACGCCTAACCCAGTATCCTTCAAACTTGCCAAATCAATCAGTTTTTAAGTTTAACTAGAACTGTGTTTTAAGTGATGGATGGAAGCAGTTTTGTGAACTTCTGCTGGAGTTTGGAAGCCATATTTAGAGTTAGAAGAGGGCATAAAAGAAAAACTGAGGTGAAATTACTGTTGTTTCAAGTCTGGCATATTTGCCAGAGCAGAGAGACCAGGGATTCCTTGAAATGGAATTTGCTCCTTTTTCCTTCCAAAGGTCTGCTCCTTTTTCCTTCCATTGATTCAAAACTGAGCTTCTACAGCCCTCATTCCTTTTATGTTCTCTGATGTGTAGGGCATAAATCAGAACATTGTAATGCTATTAGCTCCAACTTGGATAATGCTGTTTTCAGCTCTTCAGTCTCCTCTGTAGCATAAAGGATGTAACTGCAGTGTCCTTAGGTTTACAAAAAATCCCAGGAGAGCAAAAGGAGCTTCTTATGTCTCTTTGCACCGTGCATAGAGTCTTATGTAAGATGGAAAGCTGAAAGAAGTTTGGCAAATTGTATTAGTTGACTCTAGATGTCCCACTGAAACCTAGTAGTGCAACAGATATATTTGATAGAGTTAAATATGCCACAGTCCAATGTTTTTTCTCAAGTGGTAGATTGTTTTCTCTCTAGTTCAGAATTTGCACTGCCTTTCCCTTCTGCAAAAACCAGGTAATAGCCTGCAACTCTCCCAAAAGCGTTGCTATCATCCTTGTCCACAGTGTGCTGTTCCCAATTCCTTCAAGAGCCAAACAGATTACCCCTAAGGTGAGAGCCTTGTGCTGCTTCCATTTGAGCTTACAGTTGACAGCACTGGGCACCACTGAGCAATGAACACATCGTTTTTAATGACAAAACTAGCTAGCAGTTCTGTGCTTGAAAACTCAGCTCTCATGGCTGCTCATCGTTTTCCTTTATGCCACCAAGCTAAGAATTTGTCTTCCCAGTCACAGCAGGCAAAGTTTCAGGTGACGAGGGGGCCCTGACCTCATTCCACGACAGCTATTTCAGTGGCGCCTCAAAGTTTGGCATGACACCATTTCCTTGAAAGTGAGGCCAGAAAGAAATTACTGCTTAGGAAAAAGCAGACTCACAGAATTTTCTCGTGGCTCACAGCTCACCCTAACTTCTGGGTGATTTCTGCCAGAAGGGAGATTGGCTGGCATGAGTTAGGCATGCAAAAGGAAGGCTGCTTAGCAAAAACCTGGTCTCTCCAAGGTATTTCCTTGGCAGAACCAGAACTGACTTTCAGCTTCCCCACTTTTCAAGAAGCACTGGAGGTTTCTCTTGCCAAACTGAAAGACAATTTTTAGAACAACTGTGCAGTGTCAGTCTGTGTCTGAGGAGTGTACCCAGAACAGGAAGCTCGTTCATAGCCTTCTACTTCCTACAGAATAAGACCATGGTCTACTGAAATGTGACAGTAGGACACAGTAAAGGCATGCACTGAAAAATGTTTAATTTTGAAAGGAGATCACAGAGGATATCCTACAGCAGCTAAGAAAAAACCTCAATTTCACTACCAATTTCTATCCAGAAGATTTCGTTTAGGTATACTTTATATTATTCAGACTTGATATGTGTATGTTTCTAAAATTCACTTGATTTAAATTTAAAACATTAAAGTAATTAATGCAAATCCCTGTGTCAACCCCAAGTCACCTAGAAAAAGTTTCAGCATAGCAGAAGTCTTTCCACATATGCTGCATAAATTCAGGTGATTACATTGTGGCTCATGATTTGGCATAAATACTTCACATATGATTTTAAGACCTTCCAAGCTTGAATTCTTTCTGCTTTCTGAACTACAGTGTTGCCAACACTACATCAATGACAGTGCATTACAGCTCCATCTGTGGATATCTAAATCCCTGGTTTTGGTATAATTCTAATTCTCATCAAAATCTTTATTGCGGGTAAAAGTTATCAATTTGAGAACAAAGAAAATAAAATGCTTTAAGTAACATAAAAAGCAAGCAATTGTTAAGCAGAGATTATACATGTCATTATAAATTGGCATATATTGAAACACAAGTACTGGTTTTGTCATTTTTATTAATAATGCATTAAAGAGAAATAATCAAGTATGTTGCAACAATTTAAGAGGATTCTTTCTTTTCTTCAGTTAAGTTTCCTTATCTCAGTTTTACCATAATTTGAAATTTGGTAGGCTTTTTATTAAGATTTTTCCTAAGTCATGATTTTTTCTATTAGATATGTTAATACTTCTTTTTGTTAACTTGGCACCTACATGCAAGGGGGAAAGTTGCCACTTAGCAAATGAGAGAAGATATGGCAAAGCATTGTTTGTTTGCATGCATTAAAAAAAAAATAAATAAAAATAAAAAAAGGAGGTGGAGGATACGAGGTAGGAAGGAAAAGAGAGGGGTGAGGGAAAACCAGATGTGCTCAGAGATTGTTTTAACTTGGACAGATGCCACTGTAGCAGCAGCAAGTGGTGGCTGTGTAAAGAGTTAGGACACTACAGGTGTCACCTGTTCCATGGTGCAGTAGTGATGTCCTGCTGAAGCAGGATATGTCACTTTGGGCTTTTGTGGAAATGCCAGAGATACAGCCAGCAGGGCTACAATTCAAGAAATCCTGGAAACTAACCCCTAAGTAAATTCCTATTCAGTGAATCATTCTTCTCTTTAAAGAAAAGTGTTGCTGAAGCAAGGCCTAATCATAAGCCACTCTGCATTATCTTTTTCTCTGGCTTCATGGTTCCTTTGGCCTGAGCACAGTAATTATATATCAGCAGTTTATGTAATGAGTATTCATCATTTTCTCCAAAGCTTTAAGACAGCTTTTATTTCTTCCATTGGACAGACATGCCCCACCTCTCTCCCAGTAGTGTGCTATAGCTTACATTGGCTATTGCAGGCAGTGTGACTCAGTGCATGAACAGTTTCATTTTCTTACATCTCTCCTACAGGATGCTGCTGTCAGTAAGTGGAGATAAGCTGCCAGGTCACCCCATAGTTATAATTTTAGTCATCAGAATCCTTTAAATTTCTCACAGTTTCAGTTATAAGGGCTGTTTGGTGTTTTTTTTCTCCTGAAGAACTGTAGCTAAAATTTGTCAAATAGCGTGCGCAAAAACCTGGCCATTGAGCTTGCTGGGTTTCAGCAGATCCTGTCTGTCAGTAGACTGAAACAGTGTCCCATTTTGATCTTTATACAAAAGCCCAGGAACTTCATAAGATGCTGGTATAGTGCTTTGAAATTGTATCTATTAATACAATTTTGAAGTGCTATACCAGCATCTTATGAAGTTGTGTCCTGTGTGCCAGGAAAGATGTCTCTTTGTCAAAGGAACCTGAATAAGCTGCAAAGCACAAGTGGTCGCATAGAGAAGAATCTAGAACATAATGGTTTCCAACCAGACAATTGGCGAGTGGAGAGGGTCAAAATTCCAAATACCTGTGTAAGATCTCACATGAGGTATATTAAATCTCTTCTTATTAGGATATTTCTGAAATACTTTGGTACCGTAGATCAACACAAATGTGAATGTAAAGCCACACCTTTTTAAATTTAATTCTTAAATTGATTTTTAAATTGAAATTTTTTTAAACAGAATATTATTGCCGAACACGAAATCCGTAACATTTCCTGTGCGGCACAAGACCCCGAAGACCTTTCTACGTTTGCGTACATCACTAAAGACTTGAAGACCAATCACCACTACTGCCACGTGTTCACTGCGTTTGATGTGGTCAGTTTATAGAAGATACTTCATTTAATAGTTCTTTCTATTCGTCGTAGTTACTTATTCTGTTAAAACATTTTCACGATATATTCATGGTGACTAATGGAAGGCATCGTTAATTTGCCCCAGGAAAAGATCGCTAAGGGATAGCAAAGGGACATTTCTGGAGTAGGGCAAAGATTTTCTCTGATATTTCCCACTGGAAATAAGTCACCTCTGTCACCTCAGCTGTTGATTGTAAACTTAGCAGGTAGCTTTTCATGCAAGTCTGGACATGAGATTCTCATATCCTAAGCTGTAAGCCTAAGGCTTCCAAAAGGTTGTAACAAGTATATTTGGCCAGCCATTCTGAAATCTCAGTACACACCAATAGATTGCCTTTATTTTGAAAGTAGCAAATTAATTCTTTAATTCTTATTTCCTTGTTCTGTAATTCTTGCCTACATATCTCAAAATTTTACTTCAGCAAAAGTCCTTGGAGCTCCTATTATATTGGTGGAGAATTAGTCATTTCTTCCTACACCTATATCTTTCGGGTGGGGATACACAAACTATTATGGTTTCAAGAAATCATGAACACATATTAATTAATCAGTCATGCAGTTTTCAGCTAAATTTGATGAACTAAGTAGTGGCTAAAGATTTTATGACTAAGATTTAGAGTCCAAAACTTTTAAGAAAACTTACTCTTTGAGTTGTGCACAAGAGAAATTTAAGAAATTACTAAAACTTCAAACCCATTCAAGAAAGAGATATTTTAATAGAGTATAATGTGCATGAATTCTTGAAACAAGCTTATATGAATATAAATAAGATAAATCAAAAGAACAGAATACCTTGAACTGCAGCTTTTTATTTGGAACTGGGGAAATAGTTAACATGCACGGCAATAGTGTGTGGGAGAATTTAAATAACAAGATGTACAGGTAGGTTAGAGGAATTCTAGCATTTTGGTTGAGTGCTTTTGTTATTTAAATTCTCTGCTGACATTTTGGTATCCACAGGGAGTAGGAAAACTTTGATATTGTGTTAAAAATAGATAGGAAAATTATCAACAAGATGCTACATTATATAGGTTTTAGTGATGTGTGAACAACAGAAATTAGACTGATTGAGTGAGGTTATTATTTCTCCTGGTCTATTCAAATTCTACTTAATGGTTTTGAAGTACTGCAGTTTCATTTATAGGTTTAGTAATCAAGCAGAAACATACACGCAGGTATTGCAGATGAAATTCATCTTCTTTCTTGGCAAGAGAAGAAAAGTGATCCAGGAATAATTACATTTTGCCCACTTGCTGTACCTTAGGAGGAGCATTTAAGATCCCAAGCACTTTAAATGGCTATTTTAAGCAGTATGGAAACTTTAACTGTCTTAGTTTTCTTCTGCAACTTAATCCTCAACTGGGTGTTATACACCCAAATATCCTCTGTTTGTGTTGTGTTTTTTGTCACAGGAGTTAGCATTTTTGATGAAAATACAAGCTCTATGAAAACTAGCTAGATGTTCAGAGTGCAAGCATAGTGTGAATTAAATTTTCTATTTAAAGCCTAATGTTTATGTTAAACTGATTGTCCCATTTGCTAATAGAAGCAATTCTGCCCATTTGCCAATGGATAGAAATACAATAATTTTAAGAAAATTAAGGTTTAAAATGGTAGAAATTTTAAACCTTAATTTAAGGTTTAAATTAAGGCATTTTAAACCATATATATTTTGGTAATACAATATATGCAATGTTATGGAAAAAAAAATCACTCTCTTGCGTCCTTCAGTTTCTCAGGAAGTGTGGGCAAGAATAATTTATTTATAGGTAGGGGAATTATTTTAGTGTAGGGACATGCAACCACAAGCATTACTGATACTACTTAGGAGTAACTGTACATTTAACTTTAACTCAAAGTTAAAATTCTACAATCAAAATTGCAAAAACATCAGACATTATTACAGAATATTGAAGGGGAGAAGGTTTGGGGGGATTTATTGCTCAATATTTGAGATCCACTTCACTTTCTTTCTTTTACTAAGCAGCCTTAAATCTGTGAGTGAAGGATTCCCTCTGGAGAAACAAACCATCAACACAGCTCCTATATCAATTTCTGGTTTGTGTATTGGAGATACCCAAAGTAATTTCCATCAGAAAATCCTTCATTGCCCAGTGCACCTGTGAATAGAAGACAACAAAAACGCCAGTTAAAATGTGAGGACACAATTAGCCATTGTAATAGGCTGGCTGAGTTAAAGATGAAGAATCCTCAGACTTGGGCTGGAGATCTGAGTTGTAGCACTGCCGGGCAAACAAGGCAGTTCACCTCATTCCTCACCTCCCAGAAATTGTTGCTTACAGGCATTGGCTTACTCCCTTTCCCTCTCTGCCTTACCACACAAGGAGCAGCCCGGGAAGCACCGCAGGCATTTCTGTCTCCTTTCTTGATGGGTGCTTGATGGGTGCTGTGAGAGTCAGAGTCTCCTACAGCAGCCAGGGGCTCTGCAGCTTCCGTGCTAAGCGTCTGTCGGAGAGGGAGACTTCTGTCCTTCCTTGTGCACCACGTGCTTTTCAACTTTGGAACTTGAACTTCTTAGTTCAAATCATCTCCTCATTCCATCAGAAGAATTTCCACAATGGATTTTGGTGTGGTTTTCCACCCCTGTCCTGAAGGGAATCCTGCTTCTACCTGTCCAACTCAGGTCCTCATAATCCTCTCCCAGTACTAGAGGTGGGAAATTCCTCAAACCAAATTTATTTATTTATGGGGGTTTTTTTCAGATAACTTTTAAATATTTCATAAGGTACAGTTTTAAAGCCCTCCTTGCCTCTATTTGCAGGCTTCCCTTTGTCAAGGCTCCACCACAGTATACAATGTATGAAATTTATGTACAAGCTATGGCTTAGTTTGCATTCCAAATATTGAACAGAACAGTGGATGTTCTATTTTATTTGCTATATTTCAAATATTTATTAACCAGAGAAGCAGTTACATGTTTCTTATGGTTTTCAGGTCCCAGACAGGCCTGTTTTTTTCATTTTAGACAACAAAGGAAAACAGATAATAGTGGCTTTATACAAGATGCAGGACTTAAACTAAATTTATGCCTCAGTATGGCAAACTTTCAGTCTGTCTCCAGTCCTATCTCCCAAATTTTCAGGCCTGTCTCAATGATCTTTTTGTGTGCCAAGCTGGGTGGTGTATTTTCTCAGTCCTGCTAGTATTGCAGCTTGCATATTCTCCAACAAGCCATTCCTACAGCCTTGTCCTGCTGATGTAATCCTCAGTAATATTGATAATATCCACTGCAGACAATCCCATCATAATATAGTAAACTCTCCTACTGTCACGAAAGCTGATTCTTATCCCACTTAAATTACACTCCATTTCAAATTATATTATTCTCTAAATTTTTAACTATACTCTTGTTGCTCTTAATTCCTTGGCCAGCATTCTGCTAAAAGGCAGAGCACTTCATAACAGGCTCTTTAGTTTTTCCTTTTTTATTCCACTGGCAAACTGCAGCCTCAGTGTTTTTCAATTCTGGACAGTTTCCCTTGAACTTAAAGGGGAGATAATTTGGAGACTACAACTATCAAATCAGGCATTTTTATTTGGGAAGCTATAAAATTTTGGCTGGCTTGCTGTTGTGGCTGTAGTCGTAATAGCAGAGAGCAAGTTCCAGTGCAGGAGTATAATTGTTTTCTGTCTGACCTAACACAGAGCAGAACTGGCACCTTTATAAGAAGCTCTTATAATGAGCAAAATATGCTGAATTTAGCCTGTATTATATCAGTAGACATGAGTGATAAAAAAGGAATGGAAATTATTCAGGGAAATTAAAGTGTAAGGCCTGAAATGTAATGCTTGTCCATTTAACTTTGTTTTAATGATTGAAGGGGTTGAAAATAGTGTACTTCCAAGTGGATTGCATTTCTTTCTCACTTTCTGCAAACTGAACAGTTAGACTTGACTAGTAAAGACAAAACTAATTTGAAAAAGCATCAGAAACGTGGGAATTTTAAGGGATCACCTAGGTTCAAAGCAATGCAGAATTGCTTCCTACTATAGGCTGTGGAGATTGAGGAAGGAGGGAGTAACATCTGAATCATATCAAAGATTTATGAATTATTCCAAGGGGACTGTAGGACATCATATGGAGGCAAGCCAACAGGCTTGCCTTTGCTCTGCAGGGGTTCTAAAGATTATTGCAGAGTTAGTAGCCCAGAAACAGGCTCTAGTAGGAGCCTAAAAATAGGCTCCAGTAGGAGCCTGAAAATAAATATACAAAAACAAACCCACAAACCTGAAGAAAAATTACCATAGGACTTCACTTACCATTTAGAGTAAGGTCAAATTTGAAACTCCCAGCTGCTTTTTCATTGATGTGTAACTGTACTGAAAAGATATTTATATCAACCCCTCTGATACCTCATTTGTTCTTTATAAATATTTCAACAGGTTTTCTTCCCCATATTCAAAGAGGATTTAAAGTATTCCACCTATAACACTGAAACATGGTTTTAGGCATAATAGCCTGACTTTTCTGGTTATGCCCACTAACCTCCGTTCCCCTTGCTTACAGGAGTGTTGTTACACAAGTGTTTGAGCTCAATTTTACTTCTAGAAAACAAGTGCATGAGAAGCTTTCGCCAGGACGTGCAGCACGCAATTGAAGCAACGCACTGCCCTGCACACACAGCTGCCTGCACTGCGTCTGTCACTCGGAGTACACACTTCCAGCCCTGGCTCCTTGTCCCTCTGAAAGCAGCACACCCCGGCTGCAGCCTCTTCCCGTGCTGCTTGCTGAGCACAGAGCACCCCGAGGCATGTGCCCAGGGAAGCAGCACGTCAGGCTGCTGCCTCTGGAGGAGGATGGGTCAGCACAGGAGTTCTGAAATAGAGCGAGGCCGAATGTCACATTGCGGCAGTGCAAGAGGGGCTGGATCCCGAGAACAGCAGACATGGGATGAGTTGGGAAGGTGGGAAGGTTAATGTACTTGTTCTAAAAAGAGATGACAACACGCTCACCCACTCATGTTTTCATGTTTAGTAAGACATTTTCAAGGGGTTTAGAAGTAATTACTTTCAATACAATAAATTACTTTTAGATGGTTTTTAATCAATGGGAAATCAAATGACAGATGTAAACATCACAGAGACTGAGGAGCCTATTACCAGCGTGATTTTAATTATTTACATTGCAAATCACTACCCTACTTCATGGATCTGACAATAATTCAACCTCACCTCATTTTTAACTGTTTCTGTTTTGTTCCAGAATTTAGCTTATGAAATCATTCTTACACTAGGACAAGCATTTGAGGTGGCCTATCAGCTTGCACTACAGGCACGAAAAGGGGGTCATTCTTCAACCCTCCCCGAAAGCTTTGAAAACAAACCCTCTAAACCTATTCCCAAACCACGTGTTAGTATTCGGAAGTCAGTGGTAAGTAGAAGGTAGTAATGCATGCAAAAAAAAATGCAAAAAAAATCCAAAATTCAGCTATACAGTTAAGAGTATATGTACTAGAAGCTGTACAAATAAAAGTACCTCTTGAGTCAGAAATGCCCATCATGCCACCTCTGCTCATCAGCTGCCAGGGTTGTGTCACCACAGCACTGGCAGCCATCTCAAACAACTGCTTATTTCAGATTTCTCCAGATTAAGATGTTGCTTGGTTAGTCTTTTGTTTTACAGTAATTACTGAACTTTAATTAATTCAGTTTAATCAATGCATACCTCTCAAACTCTGGTTTCATGGACTTTCCTAATGTATCACCTAACTTGTTTGGTATACAATCATGGCATATGTACCCTAATCAAATTACAAGTCCAAATCAATTAACAATTATCTTGTCAGACCAAGCAACTTCTTTTCTTTTTTTTTTTTTTTTTTTTTTTTTTCTTTTTTTTTATGTTTTTGATCTGGGATTCAATATACCTTTTCAGTACTAATCACAGACCCCCAAGAAACAAAGCTCATTGAAGCATATGCATTGATTGCCGTAAAAGTGCCCTCCTGAAGTGCAGAGATGACAGAGAAATATTAATTTACAGTAGACCTTTTAAAAAAATTATGAAAACTATTATAAATTAAGTGAGAACACAGGCTCAGGGTGATTTGGGAGGGAGAGGAGAAAAATGACCGCACACTATCATATTCACTGACTATAATGTGAGAATTGTACTTTATGACACTTAATTATTGGGTGAGGGGAAGGGGGGGGGGAATGTATGACTGTACACTTTGTCATCCATTGCCACAGAATCTTCCTCCATAAAACCTTAAGTAGAAACATTTCCTGATGCCATCGTCTGTCTCATTAGCGAACAGACTTCTCAGGATGAAGTGTGGCTTTAATGAACTATGATGCCCTATAGCTTGGGGGTAAACACAGCTCTGATCTCAACAGGAAGAAGAAGGCAGCCATGAGTACATGGGAGTGTAGACACCACCATACTTGCTGCTGTACGACTTTGTCAATTCGGGATTTGCCCTGTTAGTTTAAAGAAAAACCCTCTGCTCAAGCTGCCGTGCACGGAGATGGTAACCCGTCTGTATGTTTGCATTTGTCTTAAAGCAGATAGATCCATCCGAACAAAAGACTCTTGCGAATCTACCCTGGATTGTTGAACCTGGACAAGAGGCCAAAAGAGGCATTAATACCAAGTATGAAACTACAATTTTCTGATACAAAACTGTCCCCCTGTTCCTTGTTGTGCCTTGCACGCCAAGCAGTCACAGCACAGCCTTTCCTTTATGGCAACGTTTCAATCCAGCAGAGAGGAAGACTGCACTGTATGAGTGGCCTTGTAACTAACAAAAAAGGCTGACAGTCATTTCTGGTGATGTTCTTCTTCCTGCAGCACTGACTGAAGAATGATTCTATATGAAGACTTTTAAAATTACAGTCCACAAGAGGAGTGAGAAACCTTATTTTTCGTGCAGTTCTCCCTTGTGACTCTGCCACAGTGCTTTCTTTGATTTCTTATTTTAGAATTCTACTTTTTAAAGAAAAAAAAAAACAAAATGTCTCTAAACTAATACTAATGCTGCCTACGAGTAGAGTATTTGATTGGGTTTTTTATTTAAATCTTGGCAGTTTTTAATTGAAATAGAACCAGAATTAATAAATAGATTATTTGTGAAACCACTGAATTCATTAATAATTACTGTGTTGAATAAAGAATTCATTAAAGTGACAAGAAATTAGGCACCCTGATTTCTGTGTGCACTGATTTTATATGTAATCATTTATGTCCTTTGATCCTCTACAGAAATAAGAACCTCTTGCATTGTAGCAAAGGATCAGAGTTTTATGAATGGTTAGAAAAAGGTATTAATAATGCACAGAAAACATTTATTAGATATTTTTATGGAAGAGAAGTACTATAGGAAAACATATGAATATTTATGGAAGGAAGCCAGATTAATTATGAGAAATATTGTTTATTTTAAAGTTAAGTAAATGACTGCTATTGCAGCATTATGAAAATTATAAGAGTTGTAGCATCAGTGCACTGGATGTTCTGTGTGATCAGTCTGGAATGAAAGTGGGATGGTCATTCTACTACACCTACATATAGTTTATGCAGTTCAACATTGCTATAGCCATGAATTCTAATAGTATTTAAAAAAAAATAATCTCAGTGGTTCTAAAAAAGTGAAAACCATGGATTTTGCTATCAAGATTTCTGTCACAGAAAGCTTGTTTGGAAGAGTGTTGATAAAATTCTACTGCAAAACATTTTCTAAATAAAAACAGCGAGAAAAAGAAAAAAATTCCAAAGTAATAAAAATGTTTTCATGAAACAAAATAATTAAGCTTTTGCTTAATATTTGGTTAAATGAGATTTACTTACTTTTTCTTTAAAGTGTTTTAATTTTTTTAATGTCTGTGGAGTATTTGTATAATACCATGATGTATATTTATGTAGAACTGAAATTATAACAGTAAAATTATCATTATAGGAGAAAAATGACATTTTAATGTATATTGTTCTTTCCAGTCAAATTGTGAATCATTTTGAAGTTCATTATAGAGATATTGATAAATTGTGTGGTTGTCTTAATGTTTTTTTAATTATTATTTCATATCCAGCTGAGGTTTTTCAGTTAGAATCATCAGTTGGTATATTCCAAAAAATGGATAATTGAACTTGGTTTAAAACTGATAATTGTATATGGTTTAGTTAAACCTAATCATAGCGCTGAGTGATGACATCCTTTTAATACAGTATTCAATTTACTTGAACAAAATAGTTCCTTGTACATATTTTTGCTTATTCACTGTTGATATGTACTTAGTCAACTGACAGTAAAAAAAAAATAACACTAAAAATATGGTACCAAAAGGAAAATTGTATAGGAGAACAGTAAATAGTAGCCTCACTGCAACAAATACTTATGTAAATATGCTTGGGCTTCCAGTTATAAATTTTGTAATTTTGTCATTTATTTATATCCTATAAAAGCACACAAAATAAAAGGAAGTTGTACAGTCCCAGCTTTGTGTATCATTTTATCCTTGCTAAGGGAAATCAGGGGCCTGATGCAAAGGATACTAAAATCAGTGAAAGATCCCCCCTTTCCCATTTCACTGATTTCACTGAGCTTTGGATCTTGTACCAAGGAAATCTAGGAATTGCTGTGGAGAGAGTTTTGGTTTGCAATACAGATTTTGTTTACAGATGGTAAAAACATCACACTTTGAAGTCCTCAATTAACTGGTTCTTCCATGCTCTACTCAGCTGCTGACTTCCCATATTTAATCACATCCTGTAAAGATTTGTGCAGGAGTTATGTTAAAACACATCCACTTCAGGCACGTAAAGTACAAATGGGCCAGGTTTTCAGGGTACGAAACTGGGGCACCTCTTATGCAGCTGAGTGACCCCTAAAATTAAAGGATGAGACAGGAGCTGCAGCAAAACTCTAAGCAGATGTAAAGGAAAGGTGTGAAACAACAGGAAGGACTGCCACCTTGCAGGAAGAATTTGATCTAGGTTCATCAAAGAGATGTCAAGCAGGTAAGGTGGCACAGGAAGCAGCTGAACTCATTTGGGAGAGATAATTGGGGCAAGAGAGACTGACAATAACTAGCAGGACTGATGAAAGATAAGACAGATGAAAGACTGCTAGGGCAGAGAATTGAGTGTGAAGGTTTTGGGACACAGGCAGTGAACAACTGAAGTACCCACAGCAGGCAAATTTAAACTGGAAGGAAAGATAAGAATTAACACACATCAGGGACTTCTGTATTTGCAGAAACCTGGGATTTTAGAAGGAAACATATCCATCTACTCACCAAGAGTAGTGTAAGCCAGTTGGAGAGAAGTCCATGGGGTCTCCTCTAGCAGGGGACAGTGGTTCAGCAGTCCTTTCTTCAGATCCAAAGGGACTTCTACAAACTTGCACTAATCCAAAGGAGTTACCACTTGATCTTTTGTCTTTTTTGGTTGAGATGACTTTTCATTTAAGTTCCTGGTATGCTGGAAGTGCATAGGCAGTAAGGGGATAATGGTCAGTCTTAACAGTGAAGGTAGGGACCTCTACAGGATCAGAAAGTCAGGAAAATTGCTGTTCTTGACCTCTAGGGTAAAAGGGAAGCAGAGGCAGGTCAGGGAAGGCATATGAAGAAGCTGGAGCATTTGGATGCTGGAAAACCAATAGTTAATTCCAATGGCTGACTTAGAGTGGAAAGGTGGAGAATACGCAAAAGGAGAGAGCTGATACAGAAGTAGATTGCATTTGACATGAGAAGGTAAGCAAATTGAAATCCAAAGGAAATGTAGATGACAAAGGGTTTTGAGAATTATGTGAGGAGTGAGGTCTCTAATATGCTGTTGTGAATGGGTGTTTTAGGTTGCTCAGAGAATCACTGGCAAAGGTATCAGCTAAAGCAGGTTTAATAAAAAAGTGAAAGCACGATGCAGTCCATTGGTGAACTACACAGTTGAAGCACACAGAGAAAAATTGGACTAAAATCTAAAATCAATCAAACTAAAATCAGTCTAACATTATCTGTGTGGAGGTCAGGGATGGCAAAAAGTTAAGGATGGAAAAGCGTAAGGATGAAAGGGAACGAGGGGAACCCTCCTGTTGAGTCACAAGGTTCAGAGTAGATGCTTTTGCCAGACTAGATTAATGGCTTAGGCCTCAAGTTTTTAATAGCATTTCATTGACAGCCTAATTTAAGCAAGTTAAGAAAAGACTCTTTAGAATTTACAATGAACACAACAGTAACACACAGGCCTAATTTACGTAGGAATCTATTGTACTTAGGAATTATGGAGATCAACACTGACAGTGCATGTGTGTCCTGGTTTTGGCTAGGACAGTTCATCCTCTCACTGTTGCTGAGAGGGGCAGAGCCTAGAGGTGTGTGGGTGTGGCTGGCTTCCTCTTCTAAACCATCCAGGCCATCGTTGGGGAACATGGTTCCAGGTGGAAGGAAAGGTGACTGCACAGCGGAAATTGGCACCATTTTGTTCCTTTTTTCTGGAGGAGCAAAGCAGTGACACAACCCCTGGGGTGGTGCAGATGTGGAGCAGGGCAGTCAGTGCCATGCAGACAATCTGCCTTGGAATGTTTGTCCATCCTTGTTTCTCGTTGTCTTGGGCTTGGGGAAGGAGGACACCGGCTGTGGGAGCATCTGCCACATTGTCCTTTGTCTCTTGTCTCGGGAAGAGCCGAGTAGCTGCTGGGCTGTGGGTAACTGTACACCATTCTGTCTTTGTCTTGGTGGCCATGTGGAGCTGGGTGGGGGTGGTGAGCACCTTTTTGTATGTAAATCACCTCTTTTACCCATTGTTGTTATGAGTACTGTTTGCTGTTACTGTTTGTTTTCCTTCTCTCTTTGCTTTTTCTCTAGTAAATTGTTATCTCTACCCATAATCTCTGCCTTTTTGTCCCTTTCTCACTGGAGGGGATTGGGGAGAAGGGAAGCAGCTGTTTGCTTTTAAACCACAATGATTTGCAATACTATATTCACACTCGGCAGACACACATTAAAGGAGTGTGGATGCACACCTGTGAAAAATTCCCCTCTGGATCAGTGAAGTGCTCATGTTGGATGCCTTAGCATCATTTTGAAGGGTGAAGAGTTGAGCCTCGAGGAGTAGGGGTAGCCCAGGTTCCATCGATGGCTTTTGGCAGTGGTCCTACAAAAGGAGTGAACTTGAGAATTTTCTCGCTCGGAGGAGTGTCCTGCTCAGAGTGAATTGCTGGCTGCAGCCCTCTCTGGTCCAGGAGAGCTCCAAGGGTCCCACTTAGAACCACTCTTTATAGGGTTGCAAGAGTGTTTCCTTTTGTCACAGCAGTTTTCCATCCTGGCCCCAATTCAGGTCAGTAACTTTCTGTAAAAGTTCAGTTGTAAAAGCAGTGTTACACTTGCATTTTTAGGCAGGCAAGAAAAATAGGTTTCCAAGACTGTTCACTAAAATACGGGAGCTCATTAGCCAAAATAAGATCCTGGGAGCACACAGTGTTTCTGATAAGCTCAAGGAGCTTAGCTGAGCTGTCATTCATCAAGGCCAAGGCCTAACAAGCATTTCTGAAATCATAGCGTGGGCCAGCGTGAGAGAGGGATACACCGCCACATATGCACAGTAAAAAACTGCTGCTGGGACAGGGCTTAAAACTGCACAAAGTCCTGACAAACAGCAGGGAACTTCTGTGTTTGTGGAGTTA